CTGACAGGGAGGGTTCTCCGTTATCAGAGACCAAGACCACCAAGGGGTGAGTTTTGAGGTCATTGTCACTCAATCTCCTCCTAGTCCTGATCTCCCCGGTGCTGGTTCCGATCTTGAACAAGTTGTTTCCTTTGGGCTCAGATAGGTGATAAGAGAGCAGCGCATTGTATCCAGAGTCTGCGTCTACAGCCCTGATCTTTGCCACAAAGTATCCCGCTTCAGCAGAATAGGGGATGCTCTCACTGTTAACGGAGCCGTGCTGAGAGTAAGGAGCGAGAATTGTTGGATTATTATCATTTGCATCCAGAATTAAGACCTTAACAGTCACGTTGCTGCTGAGCGGAGGAACACCAGAATCTGTGGCCTGGACTTTAAATTGAAACATTTTCAACTCCTCATAATTAAAAGGTTGTAGAGTGACTATGCCTCCAGTCTCTGAGTTAATGCTGATCATTGTAGAGAGCGGCCCTGCGTTATCACTGACTAATGAATATCTCACCTGCCCGTTTTCGCCAGCGTCAGCGTCAGTTGCACATACAGTTTTTAAAACAGTCCCGACAGGACTGTTTTCTGCCACATATATATTAATTACAGTATCTCCAAACAAAGGTGCGTTATCATTTACATCAGAAACCTGAATAGTAACTACACTGGTGCTAGAGAGAGGGGGGCTGCCTTCATCAGTAGCTTTAATAGTGATATTGTAGTGCGACACAAGTTCCCTGTCTAGAACGCCACCAATGACCAAAGAATAATAATTTTTATAATTTGTCTCCAATTTAAAGGGGACCGAATTCAATATCTCGCATTTGACTTCACCGTTTTTGCCCCCGTCTTCGTCGAGAACCGAAACAAGTGCAATAGCAGTGCCACTTTCAGCGTCCTCCTTAACTGTACTGAGCAGTGACGTCACGGTGATGTCGGGGGCATTGTCATTTAGATCCACCACCTCTACGAGTACTTTACATTGTGCTGTTAGCGGAGGTTGGCCTTTGTCCGTAGCCTGCACACGGATTTCAAAAGCAGGGTTTGTTTCATAGTCAATAGTTCCTTTAACTGTTATTATTCCTGTTTCCAAATCAATTTCAAAGATTTCTAATACACGATCCTGATCTTTCGAATTAAGTAAATATACGATGTCTTTGTTTGCACCCTCGTCAGCATCAGTTGCAGCCACTGTTACTACTGTAGTGCCTGATGGTGCATTTTCTTTAATACTTGTTTTATACAATGATTTTTTAAAAGTTGGGATATTATCATTTATATCCAACACATTAATTATGATCTCTGACGTGCCTGATTTAATAGGTGTCCCTCCATCTATAGCCGTCAGTGTGAGTTTAATTACAGCCTGCTTTTCTCGGTCTAACGCTCTCTGAAGAACTATCTCTGCCGAAACACTGTCCCCTTTGTGCACCGCTAAAGAAAAATGTTCATTCTGGTTCAGCTTGTAAGTGTTAACACCATTTTTCCCCACATCGGCGTCGTAAGCCGACAGCACAGGGAACGTAGCTCCCGGCAACACGCTCTCTGCAATGTCTATAGTTTGAGATTTGGCACTGAAAGACGGGGGGTTATCGTTTACGTCAAGAATATTGACTTCAATACGGTAAAGTTTCAGCGGATTGTTTATCACAGCCTCCACGTTTATTGTGCATTTTGTAGCTTTAGCGCAGAGCTCTTCCCTGTCTATTCTCTCACTCACGTAGAGAAAACCTGTCTTCAAATTTACATCGAAATGCTTCCTTTTTGATCCAGTAACAATCTGAAACATACGTGACTCCAGATCCTGTATATTTAGGTTCAGATCCTTGGCGAGATTTCCAACGGAAGTCCCCAGGTTCACCTCCTCAGACACGGAATATGAGAGCTGAGTGGATACCGCTCCCCAGTTATACTCCAAGACAACAAGCATTAGATATATCCCGAAGGACGCCTTTCTTCTCGGCAGATACATAATTCCATACAACATAGATCCTTATGTCGATCTGTTTTTCGCTTTTTGGCGGCGAAATGTATTTTGTGAGACTAAAGTAAATGCCAGTGCATTTTTCTCAAGCCTCCCCACTTCGTCCTGCCTCTCATTCTAACAAAGCACAGACAAAATGATCCTTCTATTGTGGGAGGGGCCTTCAACCATCAGCGATCAGCCGGCGGTATTACGGTCTAGACTGTCGCCCCATGGTCATTTTAAGTAACTACAGTTAAGGAATGAATGCAATCAAATCCTGCTGTTGTGTTTGAAATAATAAGACTTGTTCTTAATCGAGTCACTCACACCTTCTTTCTTTATATTGTGAGATCCTAATAGTACAGTATAATGTAATCGCCACATATTTCAGAACCATGGAGAGAGTATCATTATGTTGATGCAGGCACTCCTTATTTGTTTGACCTTATACCAAGGGACACGCCGTTTAAAGACTTTCAGAACCGAGCCTTGGTTATTTCTAAACAAATTACAAATGATAACATAAACAGGCTTCATAAGTCAACAAATAGACATAGTTGAAAATGTGATTTCTTTTGTTATGCTTTCAACCTTTTTAACTTCTAGCCACAGCTTTAATCCAGGAAAAAA